TGGGGAAAGGGGAACAGAGAAGTTGCTGTCCTTTTTGTTCTTCAGTCTAGTTGTGGAGGATGTTGCTTCACTGGCCCAAGTTGGCACCATCATTCGCTCTTCCCGGGCGAGGCACATCAGTCGCCGGCTTCTGGACGGCCTCTCACTGTGGCTGCTGGCTGCTCACGCTGGCTGCTGGCTTCACACGGTAGCCCATGGCAACCCACTGCTACAGAGGCTGCAGCCTACGCCCTCGCCAGCAACTCATGGCAGCCCAGCTCCAGATTGAACTGTTGTTCAGCATCTTAGCTGTGGAGGGCGGTGTCACTGGCCCTCATATGTGGGATCCAAACCGGGGCCCTCTGGCGTCCCAAGCCAGCTCTTAACTAATGCACCACTCAGCCAGCCCTGAAGGTCTTTTTTGAAGTAAGGTTTTACTGAACCAAAAATGCTAGCGAAAAGACCGGTACTGGAGCATGGAGTCTAAACCACCAGTAGCATGGCTAGATGAAAAAGACAACATGTCTGTCGTCCCAGAGTTTTGCAAGTGTTTTTATACATCAAGTAGCGGGGAGGGGGAAGAAGGAGATAGTCTGAAAGAATTTACATGAGCTATAGGCAAAGGGGTGGGGGAAGGTGAAGAGGGGCCAGTTTTGAAATAGCAGAGTCCACCTGAAGAAATGTCCACGAGGGCAGCAGTATGGAAAGCCCACATGTGAGCAAGTAGGGACTCCTGGAGTTAGATGGTGGCTGGCTAAAATAATCTGCGGAAATAACTACCTGGAAATGAATCTGAAATTCCAACAGGCAAAACAGGGATGTGAGAAATCTTTTGTTAACTGGTCAGCAGCCATTAGCCAATTAGCAGTTCTGTGGCTTTCTCCCACTGTCCAGCCACTGTAAATTAATTTGGACCTTCACAGAAATTTTTTGTTATACCTCTATACATAATATAGTTAGCAATGCATTTTCAGGAATTTGAAGTAAATAATTTAAAATTCGGGGCAGGGGGGGGGAGGAGGGGGAAGTCACATACCTGGAATCACAATAACAGCTTTCAATTATGCAGTGCATACTATGTGTTAAGCATATGCTATTTGTTTTGTATTTGTTTTATTTCTTTGACTCACAAAATCCATGAGGTAGCTATTATCACCCTTTTATAGATGTGTCACAGAGAACTTAAGTATCTTGTTAAGGTAATACAGCTAGAAATCGACTACAGTGAGATTTTACTCTAGGTATCTTTTCTTCCAAAGTCTTGAAAGATAACCGTGGGTTATAGAAAGAAGAGGGAATCCATTTCTTGTATAAGTTACCAGTATAATAAATTGGCAAATCAAAAAGTTTTTTCAAAAAAACTTTTTCCCAGTTGTAGCCATAAGCAAATCTATTAATATGTAAGAAATATTACCAAAAAGTAATTATAATACTAATTTTCTGTCGCTTATCACTCTCTTTAGTTTATGTGGACTACACTTGAAAATAAATTTCACTTATTTAAAAAAATATCATTCAACTTCCTGCTATATTGTATGGGTAGGACTGAAATGTATTTTAAGTGTTTATATGTTCCCAGTGCTCTGATCCTTGGTGGAAACCTCCATTTTCGGGATTGTAGAATCCAACTCTGTTTCTGTTTACAATCTTTACATCTTCAACAAGTTACACCCTGTGTCTCAGAAGACTTTCATCTCATATTGAACCTTCTCATTCCTATGTGCTTGCTATCTTGGTGCTATGTGACTGATTAAAATATTCATGAGGCGCCCTCTATGTCGATATTTTTTTACCCGCCTTGATTGGGGTTTTGCATTTCTGCAAGTTACAATTTAACATGGAAGTGAAAAGCAGGGTTTGATATTCAACTGCTGCCATCTGTTGGCAGTGTGCTCTACCTACATTTATTGCCTTATTTTGACCCACTCTGGAATTTGGAATTGTATGTAATCTCAATACTTACAGGATTTATTTTCCTAGAGATAAAATCTTTATGCTTATATTTGCCATTGCATTGGCAGAAACTTCCAATAACTGTTTCATGAATCATGCTTACATGATTTAAAATTTCTAACATAAATGTGACAGTCTTGTTTTAGGAACTTATCCTAACAGAGTTTCACCAAGGTATTACTAAGAATAAATAGGGTGGGGACTGAGGAAACTAGGGAAGAAGGAAAGATACTAAAGATTTCTTTGGTAGGTGCTGGTATTAGCTGTGAGGTTAGAGTTCAGATATTTATTAGAGCATCATTAATTGCAAAGGCCTAGTGAATGGACATAGAAGGTCTACTTTGGACTGGAGAGAGGGACTACCTACCATTTAGTGAACTCCACTGTGTACCAGGCACTATGTTAAGCTTCACATGTGTCATTTACTCTCTGATATCTCTACCAGGAAAAGGAAAAAGTATTAAGTAAGTGCTGTTGGTCGCAATAAACTGTTCTATTTGTTAGAAGAAACCCAAGGAAAATCCATTACTATTTTACTTGAGCTGTGTGGGAAAAGTCCTGGAATAGATCATATTCATATGTATTATTTGTTATAGTTATTCATATTTACTAGCAATTTGAAATTTTGTGATAGTCATGATAACGGAGTAAGTTTGGGCATTCCAAAGTGATTTATTAGACTCATTCTCCTGATCATTTATATATACCTATGGAATAGTTGTTTACCCTTGTTCCTAAAGCTTGAGAATTTTGGTACAGTGATTTAGGATTAACTCAGACACCTTTTCCAGAAAGCCTTCCTTTTTTTTCTTCATATGAAGCTATGGGCTCCATCCCCATTTAGTTTCCTGTGAATACCTGCTATGTAGCATTTATCATATATCACAGTCCTTTAGACTGAGCTCTTTGGCAGCAATAGCTGTATCTTGTTTATCTGTGAATTCAGGTCCTGTGTTAATAATTAATGTAGTGGGAATGCTGAAAATTTTTGTGTGATCAGTTGAATAATTAAGATATTACAACAGTCCACCTAGGAAATTCTAAAAAGTCACTGTTCAAGGAATACTTTGATATCTGCTAGAAAGCATAGTTAAACATTTTTATATTGGCTCAGGGGTTAGGAATATCTATAAAATACATGTTAAATATCTTTAAGATACTTATTCCTTTAAAATCCAAGGAATGTTTTTCCCAATCTAAAGAGAAAAGTTTGTTTAACAATGATCTGGTTGATTTGACTAATAAAATTCAGTATAATTTAGGCTTTGAGAATTATTTTACTATTTCATAGTTAAAATATAAGAGATACTACATTTTGTATGGTGTACCCAATCCTCAAAACAAGACATAACAAAAAAAATTTTTAAATCCGTGTTACAATATTTTATTCCCTTACACTCTCAAAGGTTGACTAAAGCTGCTTTTCTGCTAT